CAATCACACAACCAAATATCACATTAATAATAATAATGCATGAATGCTCTTCATCTAATCCCGTTAATTCATATAACTGGACAAGCAGACCTGCACGTCCCATACCATGCCCGAATGTCCATTTATATGAACTAACACTCATTTCAATCATCCCATAATTTCCCTTTTGTTAGTCATCTTGTCTAACTCCCTTTCGCCAATCCCGAATCACCGAATAAAAATATGTGCACTGTGGGATCCCTGATACCTGGTACCTGCCAAGAGTTAGACTCAACTACACAAAAGACTATTTCCATTACCCTCTTTTCCGTCATTATTTTCTCCAACCAACATCTCCAACTAATTTCCATGACGTGATATTGTTATGCCTATCAAATAATAATATCATGCAAGTGCTCACGAAATTTAATTAGATCAATCCCCGTAAAGGCCCTCCAAGAAATCCCTACCTCGATTTCAAAGCATAAATCCAATTTAGTAAACCACAAGCAAAACTCTCTATCTCCTCCAATAACATATTTTCCTTGCATCTCTCTTTAGTCCTCTCTAACAACTATCACATTGTATACATGTTATCTCTATATGTAGTAGTAAACAACTTGTAAATGTAAGCTTTCTATTTATACTAGAATAAACATTCTATCATCACTTAAGTAGTCAGCACGTTTTAATCTTGGTGCCCAAGTAATTTTCCTTCCACTTCAAGTCATTACAAGATGAGAATGTATATTATGAAGACACGTACTAGTAGAATAATGACTCAACTATATCTTTCATTAATATCCCAATAGCTTGCAAGTTTAAAAGATGACTTGCACAATTGACTTGCACGTCAAACTCAAAGCAAAGGAAAACTATCACCTTCAATTAGTAAATATTTCTCTCTATGACCCACATCAATAACTCTACACCAAGAATTATAATGTTTTAAAACACATTCTAAGACAATAATATTACACACACACACACACACACATATATATATATATATATATTAAAACAAAGCCTCTTATTCAATTCAACATATAAAAATATAAAAATAATTAATAAAATAAAATGCTTATAATTACTACTATAAACGTAAAACAATATATATCCAAGATAATTACTTATATATAATAATGTTTATTCCTCTTTAATAAATACTGTTAAAATTTTTAAATACGGACTCTCACAATCTACCCTCCTTAAAGAAATTTCGTCCTCGAAATTTATAGTATCTTACCCAAGACAATCTACTCCTAAAAATCTTTGTCACTCATGAATTCAAGTTTATCTAACACAAATGTTTAAACCACAGTGTTCCCAAGGGTATCTAATCCCTAGAGCTCTGATACCATTCTGTCACGCCCTGGATCTGGGGGTAGGCGGAAACCCCGCGCTCGGTGCATGAGAAAATAAAAAGTAAAATAAAAAGAAGCCGAAACATAAAATAAAATTTTCTTATAAAAATAGCTCCAAAATCTTACAACTTACAATTAATAAATAAAACTCTATCACTCTCATCTAATTCAGCCTCAACTGGTTTAGTCCTTGACTTGCCCTCTAGTTCATCTGAAAAATTAAACAGAGTGAGGGATGAGCAACCACAGCTCAGTAGGGACATGAGACCTTACCACATTAGACCTTATCACATGTGTTTCATACCACATTTATTTAAAGGGAACAAGAAAATGCATATAAATAGTTTTGAAGTTAAAGAAACCAAACCGTGCAGTAGCACTCTTGCAATTGAAGGGAAAATGTGGAAGAAAGGAAAGACTATTAGAGTCAACACCCCGTCGTCTCTATTATTTTATGGAAAATTCCATGCACGCGGTATATCTTGAAATTCCATGCACGCGGAATACGACACGACAGTGGCAATTGCTATTTGTCCAAAACTTCATAATTGCTATTTGACTAAACCTCATACGTAGCATGCCAATTGCTATTTGGACTAAGCCTCATACGCCAACATTTTGCGTCAGTGTGGGGCCCAGCTGCGTAGTAAATGCAGTTTGTTTTCAAATCTAACGCCTTTTTTTTTTTTTTTTTCTCTCTCTTTCAAATCAAAGGCTTTCTCCCAATGTAACCAAAAAAAAAATTATTTTTCCAATCACTTTTTTAATTAAAACAATTTTTTTCCCTATAAATATCCAATTCATTTTACTCAAATTTAAACTTATGAAATAAATGTTGTTTTCGGAATTCCTTCCAAATTTTAATATTTTTAATTGAAATGTTCATGAAAAAACTCAATATAATATAATATAATATATACACAAAGATAATGTCTCAAATAGTGAAACATTCAATATATAATATAATATAATATATACTCAGTTGGATGGGAAAAATCTAAAGTTCAGAATTGACATATCAGACAAAAAAGAAAAAGAAACATAAAAAAAAAAACTGAATTGACCTAGTCTTGTCCCCAAGTCTTTTTTATTTATTTAATATTTTCGCTATTCTCACTAATCAGACGTTAACTTAAAGTTGAACAAAAAAGAGGATTTGATTTTCCTATTTTCCTTTTGTGCACCTATACTTCTTGTATGTTATAATAAAAAAGTATTAAAAAAATATAAAATAGAATGTAAGTGGATAAAAAAGAAGTGGGAAAATCATCACCTCAAAAAATCGTTAACTTACAAACTCTTCATAACTTGCGGATGACACAAACATCTAAATACCAAGGCATCCAAGAAGCACAAAACTAAGTTCTAGCTAGGTTTTCATTTTGAAATCAATTTTGGTCACATTATTTAGGAGAATTGCCCATTAGTAATTTTGATCTAACAATGACTTGCCGTCAGAACAGTTAAAACCACGAGATATTTAGTCAAATACCCATTCTTAGCACTAAAACTATAAATAAACCCTACACCATTTAATTTCTATAAACAAACCCAAAAAAAACTCAAAAAATGACAATTAGCCATATTGAATTTAATTTTGATTATTAAATTACTTTGATGTCCTATTGAGTATTTTGGGCTTGTTTATATGTTTTGGGGTTGGGTTTGTTTTGAGAAATCAATGGCAGTTTTGTAATTTAAAAGAAGTTAAAAGCCTTTTTGTTATGTTATAAATGGGCTTTGGGTGTGTTTCTAAAGTCCATTTCATATAGGGTATTTTTATAATTTGGGCTCCTATATTTGGTATATTAGTGAATCTCCCTATTAGAAAAGCTACTTTTGCTCTTTTAGATGAATTTAATATGAAAAAATTTGTAAAATAGATGGCCAGCGAAAGACTGGTCTGTAACGGGGTGGCTCATTTGTCAACATCCGGTGATGTCGGCTCCTGCGTACCCCACGAGAAAGCCAAGCACCCACGTGAAGCAAAAACATCTTCCTGTACTCGCTGACGACGGGCGACTTGGGAGGGCAACATTTGCGTCAGTGGCTGCGAAGCAAATGCAGCTTTTTCTTTTTAAAAATCTAATCTAACGCCTTTTTTTCTCCTCTCTTTCAAATCAAAGGCTTTCCTCCCAATGTGTAGGCCTCGTTAAGGAGCCGAGCCTAGCTAGTCCGGCCCAAATTTTATGGGTTTGTATTGGGTTAGGTCAGGTTTTAGAAAGGAAAGAGAAAATAATGTTTAGAAAATTCAAAGCCCAAGTCTTGTTCATAGGTTGGGCATGAAAGAGCCTATTGGGCGGAACTGGGTTAAGCCCAAAGGGCCGGGCCAAAATGAGCCTACTTTATTTTGTCTTTTTTTAAAATTGATTTTTTGTGTCAATTCTTTATTCTTTCTTGTTTGTACAATATTTGGCCAAGCATTTCCAAGCTAATCCAAGCAAAGGGAAGGGAGTCCCACATCGACAAAACACAAGAGAAGGGGACTCTCCCTTCCCTATAAAAGAAGACCCCTCTCCTTCAAAGGAGGGGGAGAAAGAAAAGAGGAGTTGGGCAGGCTACTGGGGCCCCATGGGTTTACCCATGAGCCCATTTACAAGCCCACGGATCATCGGCCATCAGCCAGATCCTCAGCCTTCGGCCTCAGCATCTGCCTTCAACCTTCGGTATTCTTCCTCTTCCCCTTGGGTATAACCCTATGTACAATGTATACACACATTATCATAATGAAAACATACTTCTCCGTGGACGTAGCCCATCATTCGGGTGAACCACGTACATTTGTCTTTTGTATGCATGTCAATTTACTTACCGAATGCTCTTACATACTGAGGGTCCTCACCTTCAGCATCCACCTCATCTTTAAGTTGGCCTACTTACTACATGCCCAGTTTTAGCGCCAACATTTCTTATATATTTTTTCTATGTTTCCTTTTTTTCATAGTTCTCTATTTACATTTGTCTATATGTTTATGTCTCCATTTTTTTTTTCTATGTTCATAACTTCATAGTTCTCTTTTTTGTTTCCATAAATATGAAGATATAGTTATACAACCACCATATTAATAAAATCATATTTTATCCCCTACTTCAATTTTTTTTTAATAGTTCTTACAATGATAATAGATAATAATTTTCTCCATCTTTCATTTAACTTGGGATTTTTTATATTTATTTATGAGTATGTGATCCCACTGGCTGGGCTTTCTTGGGCTCAAACAGGCCGGGCTTATGGGTCGGGCCAAATTTTAGACACCCAAATCCAAGCCTGGCCCCCATCGGCCCATGGGCTCGCAGGTCTAATGATGACCCCATCACTTTTTTAATTAAAACAATTTTTTTCCCCACATTTTACTCAAATTTAAACTTTTGAAATAAATGTTGTTTTCGGAATTCCTTCCAAATTTCAATATTTTTAGTTGAAATGTTGATAGAAAAAACTTAATAATATAATATATATATATATATATACAAAGGTAATGTCTCAAATAGTGAAACATTCAAAATTCCAAAAAATACCCGAGATTAGTTTGATTTACCGACCAATGTTGTTGCAAGTAGGCGACACACATATCTTAGTCATCTATATCTAACAAATGTACCTTTACCTTCTTTTTCCCTTTTTTGGTTACAATGTGGTTGGTTTCTTTTGGGAGATCAAGAGAAACTAGCTTCTCCACCTTGCTCTGCCCTACGATTGTGCAATATTCCCTCAAGCTCCGCGACTACTTCTTTCATGGAAGGCATTTCCTCCTTTTCATACCTTAAACATCTTGTTGCCAGATGGGCCACTTTTTTGGCTGTCTCAAAATCTCCTTCCTTCACTATTATTTTGCCATCGAGAATTTCATTCAAGCGATCCTCTTCCCCTAGCAATAGAAATAAGCTTGCGAGCTTCGTCAAGTCACGATCCCCTGATGAAGAAATTGCATTCGGACCGGTCAGTAGCTCCGCTAGGACAACTCCAATGCCATAGACATCAAGCTTTTCTAGTAGTGTCTTTGATTCAGGGTCGAAGCATCCTTGCCTTATAGATAACAATGAAAACCGGCTATTGTTGGGCACAAATCTAAGTCCAAAGCTGCACAACTTTGCAGTGCAATTATCATCCCAAAGTATACTACTTGTCGACACAAAAGAGGGTAAGATTGGCGCGGTAGTTAATGAGCGCAAGTAAGCTAGGGCTCCTGCAGTTTCTGATGCTATCTTCATTCGTAACTCCAATGAAAGTGGTGATGATGCTTTGCCTTCTTTTCCATGAATATGTTCAAAAAGAGTGCCATTCGGAATGTACTCAGAAACCAGTGCAATTGTTTTTTTTTTTTTCCAAACAACAACCTAAGAGCCTCACCAAATTTATGTGGTTGGTACGAGAAGCAACAGCCACCAGTTTAACCAAATATGGATAATCTTCCCAGGAACAATCTACTCTGTACCTCTTTACCTCAACCACTGTTTTATCTGGTAGCACCCCTTTGTAAACGCTTGTAGAGATTCCTTTTCTGATGATTTTACTTACATCAGAAAACTTTTGACATTTAATCATCCCAAAGAAATATTGCCTTCCGAATTCAAAGACCACATTCCTTAAGTTGCTATACGTGACAGCAAGGGCTACAACATCACCTACTGCCGTAGCAGACAACGTTGCTGACGGTAATACGTCGGGAAATGAGTTTGACAATGGCCAATCTAGAAGTTCTTCTCCATATACTTCTCCTCGTTGCAAGCTATTAGAACCATCTCTCTCTTCAATGTTTACAAATCCGTCCACAATGTAGAGCATCATTTCAAGTGGTTTACCCTCTTGAGTAATGATATCGTTTTTAGTGTACTTATTTGGCTCAAGATACCGACGGATTGCTTTCAACACGCTTTCATCCATGTCTTGAAATATTGGCACCTTAGAATTAATTAATAAATATATTATTAAGGAGAGAAATTAAAAATCTTCTACATAATTATTAGTCTTCCTAAAAAAAAGAGTGATGCTAAACGAATCCTAAAATTAACTGAGTACACCCTATAATCTAAGTATACCCTAATATTTAAATCAAAATGTAAAATTAACTAAGTACATCATATTTAACTACACAAAATACCCTTGGTACACCCTAATACACTATATCACATCTCATTTGCCGTGTTATATTTTAATTTCTTCTAAAGCTTTTGTTCTTCACATTAAAAGGAGTCAATTTGAACAAACCTGGGTTTTTATTTGTTCTTCAAATTTCTTTTTTTTTCCCCTCATCTCAATGGGGTTTTGATTTACTCTTCAAATAACGAATTTGGTCAAAATGGTTCGACAGAAAGCCATATGGGTCTAATAGCTACTGCAAACTTGATTCAAATGAAAACTAATTCCCAAATGCCTTCTTATATTTGAACTTTAGATCAAACTAATATCTTCAATGATTGTTATGAATAGTTAGATAGTCTTCCACTTTCAGATTTGGTCTCTTAATAATTTCTTTAACCTTCATCTCTAATAGAGGAGTTGTTGGGCAGCAATGGAGGGCTGTTGGTCGGCAAAGGAAGGGGCAAAGGAACGAACATTCAACGACACCTCTTTGCGCCACTGTCAATGCTCGCTACGTTGTTCGCCGTCGATCGGCATCAAGTAATATGAAAACTTCTCTACGTTTGATTAGGGTTGGATATGGTGAGTAGGGTTTACTTATTAAAATTATGTTTGTTTCACAATTCAATATATCTTTTTTGGTCATTTTATATTAGGGTAAATTAGTAATTCAATAAATAGTTTGGTAGTAGGGTATACTCAGTTAATTTTAGGGTTCATTTAGCAGAACTAAAAAAAAATGACTAGTTCTAGGATGGATGAGAATTCATTAATTCGGAAGAATTAAAGTTCTATATATGGAAAGGCTAATAAGTAATTAGAATCATGGATTTGGAGGAACTTACTTGCTTCAACCTAGTGACAGGGTTACCAATTTTAATACAGCTTTGCCTCTCCTCGGGAAGAGTAGAGAGAATATAGTCCAAATTAGCATCCCTGTCTTCTTCAAGTTCTTGTTCAACGTTGTCCATGATCTGCGATTTTATATCCTCCTTCAACCCTCCGGGGATTCCAAATAACCACAGCTCAATCTCTTGACCTTTCTCTTTCATCTTCTGTTTCACTTTCATCTTGTGTCTGTGGGTCTCTCTTCTTGTGGTATCAAACTGCAGGTATGCCTATATATGCCACAACATGGCAGTTCAGTCATTAGCTAGGAATTAGTGATAAAAAAATATTAAAAAAAATTAGCCGCAAAAAAAAAAAAAAAAAAAAATCCATGTAAATTTTAAAAAAATAAAAATAAGACTCAACCCTAACCTGCAAATTTCCAATGAGATATAAGAATAAAAGCAAGCCAATAATAGATATAAAAGCCGCGAAGAGGTTTTCCCATCCATTGATACTGGGCTCGAGGTTTGAACCAAAAGAACTGCAGAAATGAAATTATTAAATATATTTAATACAAAATTGAAAATTTGCTTTTCATTCAACAAATGCCTCTAAAGAAAATAGGTATTGGCCAAAAGTTTCAAGTTATAAATTCAATGATTCAAAATAAGCAAATCAATCTCCGACCAAACAAACGATACATAAAAATACACAAACCTCAAATTTTGCAGGCCCCACCAAAAACAATTGGAGAGCTTTTCAAAATAATTTGTTGACCCCGTTATACCAGATTGAAGGAGTGTAATATATATACCAAAATCGAAGAGCGTTGTATTCATCGGACTTATAGGGCACAAATAATTTAGAAATGTCATATTTCTAAATGTGTGATGGTCATGACATCCAAAGGTACTAGCGTTACATCCATTTACTTTTCGACATGCATTATGCCAACAAATGCCCATTCGTTGAATAGCGAAAAATTAACTTCACTCGAGTTAGGAAATTACAAGTTAAAAAAAAAATTTAAATATACATTAGATTTTCATGACTAGCATGTGAAAATATTTACGCCTATGACTAGAAGTTGATTCCTCCCCTGTAACAAAAAGAAAGGAAAAAAAAAACCATACACTAACTTGAAAGAAGAACTTAATGTTATGACACATTCTTGTTTCTGCAAATATAAGTCAGGAATATGTAGTATATCGATCGTTTTGCCCCATTGTTTATCATATTCACCCTTCATAAAGGTCAATTGATTTAAGACTACTTTTAGCAAGAAATCCAACCAAACAATTAATGCTACATAAGCTTTTTATTTATCTAAATCAAGCAAGCAAGTGTTATGACATTAAAATAAATTACGATAAAATATTGAAACTTACATGACTAGCAATGATGTACATAAACCAAACAATGCTACATAAGCCTTTTATTTATCTAAATCAAGCAAGCAAGTGTTATATGAATTTAAAATAAATTATGATAAAATATTGAAACTTACATGACTAGCAATGACGTACATAAAGAGATTGAGGACACATTTAACCCATTTGGCAGTCTCTCCATTCTGTTTTTTTGGAGTCTTTTTAAGTTCCTCACATGACAAGTAGATGCGAAACACTCGTGGCACATATTGCAACAAAATAAAAAGATTCATGATAACCATCCTTATTGTGTTGAAAGATCTCAAGTCCCTCATTTCTGGAAAGAAAATGAGAATTGCAACCTGGACAACATACATTAATAATACGAACAATTAAAATCTAATTATCATGAGTAAAGTAGTGAATCATTGGCTAAGATATATGGAACACATGCACATTTCTTATGCTTTTATAACAAATATAAGGGTTAACTCTTGATTTGCCCCCGAACTTGTACCTAACTTTCGATTTACCCTTTTTATTTTATTTTATTTATTTATAGAAAATGAAGGATATAAACTTTTTTTTTCCGCCAATTTCCCCCCTGCCGTCTAAATCCGCAACATTTCATCCAATTTGCCGTTAAATATGAGGGCAAAAAAGTCATTTCTTATGTTAAAAATAAATTTAAAAACTGAAAAATTGAATATCTCTCTCTCTCTCTCTCTCTCTCTCTCTCTGTTGGCGAAAAAAAGGGTTCATGTTCTTAATTTTCTTTAAAAAAATATATGGGGTAAAACGAAAATTAGGTACAAGTTTAGAGGGCAAATTAACATTTAAGCCTAAATATAATAAGATCAAATTCGCTTTGCATGATAAACAAAAATAGGGAGATTGGTAAAACAAGCAATTAATTTCGACAAAGGGCTTCTATTACCTGAGGAAGCGGAAGAATAGCCAAAATATCAATTAAGATATTACATGACTCCCCGATTGTCTTAGCTATTTTTGGCACAACATGTTCCCGACAAAATTGTTTTTTTGAGTAGTTGCTGCGCTCTATGCGACGATATTCATTAATTAAACCTAAAAAGTAATCAGATCTATAAATTTGAAAAATGATGTCAAATATATAGAAAAGATCAGTGACTGATCTCAAAAGAAGAGCAACAATCTTCAAGTTTCTGTCAGACTGCAGGCACTTGATATCATCTTTCATCATTGGAACGTAGAGAAACAATGGATCCAGTAAAATAGCAAGCAGACATGATGCTACAAATATCTTCTTCCACTTTTGAAGGATTTGCTCTTCAGGATCATGACTCTCCCCTTTTGAAGGAAAGACCCACCCATTTCTACTTGATCCATCTTCATCTTTCACGGCTGAATTTTCCACTGTAGCCTCTGAGTTTGAATCATGATTACTGGAGAACAAAAAAAAAAAAAAACAAATATAGCCATAGATATAAGTCATGCGTTTGATACAAAATATTAATTAATATTAAGGGAAGAAGAAAATGCATATGTAGTTTTAAGTTAGAGAAACCAAACCGTGCAGGTGCAGCAGCTTTCTCTTCCGACTTCTCAACAATTTCAGCTACATCGTCTTTGGCCATAACTCCAACTTTTCCCGTTACAGCAAGAAGAAATCCTCTTGAAGAGAATTATTAGTAGAAGTTAATTCTTTGTTTTTGTGTTTTTTTGGCAACAAAAACAATTACTTGTGCAATAATTCTAATGTAGAAACTCAGTTGGTGGGTGAAAAGTTGGTTGTCATAATTCAAAAGCAACTTTTAATACTGGGCTTGGAATTGGCAAAGAAAAGAGGAGTTAAAATGAATTCACCTATGTAGACTTTTTATAGTCTTTGTCCCCAAGTCCTTTTCTTTTTAAGATCAAATTTAGTTTATTTACCAACTTTAAATTAAAACTCTTCCTATACATGCATATTAATACCAAGGAATCCGAGTAGAAGAACAAAACAAACTCATAGGCTTTCATTTTGAAAGCAATTTTACGGTAAATAATAACATTCACGTGATACACAAGTTTTGCTAATAACGACGACTAACATGATTTTTTGAAATGACTTGCCTTTTACAGGTCAAGAATACCCCCAAACTCAAGGGCCAATCATTCCAAGCAATATTAAGAGTGTGGTGTGGAACATAATATCATATCTAGCGGGCGAACATAGTGAGAGCATCTGCATCCAATTAATGGTGGGGTGTAAAGGGAGGTGTATGCCAGATTTACACCTGGAGCTGCCGGCAACACCTTCAATGCAGAGGTGTAAATGCTTGTAAATTTAGAAAACTGGCCGGAGATGCAAAAAAATATAAAGAAAATTTGTTTACCGGGTATTTGCATATCTTTTATTAAGATGTGCAGGAGTTGGCCCCGCTTGTGGAGGAGGAAGGAGAGAGAGGCTGCCAAAGTTTGGGGCATCCCAGCGGAGACGCGCAAGTAGGAGCGCAAGTAGGATTTAGTCGCCCAAAAATCAGTTGATGGGCCCCGTATGAGTAGTAGTAATCTAGTGCTAAATAACTCGGAAAAGAATCTACGGCTGACAATTCATCCTAAAGTCCACAAAATTTCAATGTGGTGTGTTTGTCGTTTATGTCTGTGAAATAAAGTGATGTTTTTGGAATCTCCCTTGGGATTAATTGTACTTTATGATCCAACGGTTTATATTTAATGAATTCCTTTCTTTTTGGAATTTCAAAACTTTTAGATTCATTTCTTTGGGAAAAATATGTAAACCTAACACAACAAAAATTAATACAAAAACGATGCCACGGGGATTCGAATTTGAGACATCTTATCTGAAAGGCAAGGTCATTTTCCACCGGACTAGACCCAATTGACTTCCCACTAGTGATTCTAAAAACACAAATGAAAGACCAGAAAATTTGTAATTAACAAAGACCTCAACAAAGACCTCAACAATGACTCCCCAGAAAATTTGTAGCATGCCAATTGTTATTTGACTAAAACATCATAATTGCAATTGCATCCGAAAATTCAAACAAATTTCTTGACTTTCATTTTGAAAACAATTTTACTTCAATTTTTTTGTTTGGTTACGAATTTTACTTCATTATTTTGGAAATTGATCTAGTGACATTTATTTTAAAAACAATTTATTGACCTCAACAACCATCACGGACTTAGCACTTACACACTGAAGCCTAAAAACCATGTCCAATGGCCCTGTTTTGGGGCACCTAAGTTTCAAGCCCATTGACGGAAAAAAAACCAAAACCCAAGCGAGCCCCACGAGAAAGCCGAGCACCCACGTGAAGCAAAGAGATCTTCCACTCACTCGCTGACGACGAACTTGGTAGGGAGCTACCCGCCAACATTTGCGTCAGTGTGTCCAAATTTTAACATTTTTAGTTGGAATGTTCATAGAAAACACTTAATATAATATAATATATATACACAAAGGAGTCAAACAATATGGTAGAATATTTTCAGATGTATTTCATTCTCCGAAAGTAGGTATTTATAATACAAGGTTACAAACCCTAGTAGAGTTAAACTAGGAAAACAAGTAGTATCCTAATTATATAATATTTATACAAAAGGAAATAAATAAAATAATATCATAATAGAATAGGGATATCTCGCTAACACTCCCTCTCAAGTTGAAGCAAAGACGTCACGCATGCCCAACTTGTCAAGCGAGTTGAGAAAGATACTTGTAGAAACAGCTTTTGTAAGAACATCAGCTAATTGATACTCAGAACGAATAAAAGGGAAGGACACAATCTCCGCATCCAACTTTTCTGCATATATACATCTTTTATTATGAAAGTTCAAATTCTTTATATGATTTGTTTATAACTTCTTTTTGACATGCCTAAAAATGCTTTTAGACAATTAAAAACAAAATTTGAAAGCTTTTTGCAGAAAATTTAAAAGGAGAAGCACATGCTAACTTCTCTTTCACGAAGCACATAATTACATACTAATAAAAGCGCCTACGAGCATAAGTGATTTTTACAGGAATGATCCCAAAAATCTTGTTATTCAGCTACCCTTGAATATGCAGTGTAGATTCATATGGCAGATTAGCAAGACCTAGGCGGTTAAACCGAACATCGACTGGCGGGGGCCTGAAAGTGCTCTCACTGAAATGCTCACAGTAAAAAGCGGCTACGGCACACAAGTCGCTGGCCATGAGAAGGCGGGCTTCCACATCATTGACGGCCAGAGCGGCACTGGTGGAAAGGGGTAACAAGGAAGGAAACAAAGAAACCTTTACCCAATCCAGAAGTTCTTCTCCATAGAAATGCCCTGTTTCTAGCAACCTACTAGAAACTTCATTGCTGCTACTGCTACTTTCAACCTTTACAACTCCGTCCACGATCAACAACATCATTCCAAGTGGTTCATTCTCTTTTATAATGTAGCTATTTGCAGCATATTTCTTAAGTGTCATATGCTTGGACATTGCTTTTAACACTTCTTCATCCATAGACTGAAGCTTTGGCACCTATACATTAATTAAACACATTTAAATTTAACCATACAATGAAAAAAGAATAAAAAGAAGAAGATAAAATCTGGAGACTTACTGCCTTGAGCTTTTTCCATATCATACGAGAATTGATATAGGTTTGAAGTTCGGAGGGAAGAATGGAGAGGATCTTCTCCACGTCGACATCCCTGTCTTGCTCAAGTTCTTGCTTGACCTTTTTCATGATCTTCGACTTTAAATTATCCTTGGCACTTTCAGGGATGATGACATTCTTGGATAACCATTTTTCTATCTCGGTTCCTTTCTTGTCCAACTTCTTTTCAAATTTAATCTTGTGCTTGCGTGCCTCTACTCTTGCAGCGTCTGACTGCATGTATGTCTATTAATCCAAAACAACAGCTAATTAAGGCTCAGTTCATTATCGAGGAGATTAAGCTTAAAGACAAGTTTTTAGCACCAACCTGCAAATTTCCAATAAGATATAAAAATAGTAGCAAGCCAATTACAGAAATAAAAGCCGCAAAGAGGTTTTCCCATGTACTGATACTAGGCTGGAGGTTTGAGCCAAGAGAACTGAAAAAAAATGAAAAGGAGCAAATATAAGAGACAAATTTGGACGTAAGATCAAGGGATTTCATATGTACAAACCTCAAATTGCGCAGACCCCACCAAAAACAGTTGGAGAACTTTTGTGGATGATTTGTTGACTCCGATATACCAGATTGAAGGACATCAACAAATATACCAAAATCAAAGAGCGTTACATTTGGTGAATTTATGGGGCATAAGTCATTTAAAAGTGTGGTATTTCTGAACTGATTATCCTCGCAGACAAAATTAGTATTAGATTCACATCTATTGCCTGTTCGACATGCAATTTTCCAGCAAGTTGTCATTCGTTGAATAGCAAAAAAGTACCAAAAGGCCCCAAGTACCTGAAGAATCAACAAGTTAGTTAATTAAATCGAACTGTAAAGAAAATCCTAAAAAATGTGAAAACATGGTAATTACTGTCAAATTTTGTATTGTCATCATGATGCATGAGTTTCCACCATTATCAAGTTGGTTCATTTAGATAAGAACATAAGCTATAAATCAAACAAGAAGAATTTGATGATATGGTGAGATGAGAGTGAAACTTACATGACTAGCAAGGATGTACAAAAAGAAATTGAGTACACCTTTAATCCATAGTTTAATATTTCCATCTGGACTCCCTTTAAGTTCCTTACATGAGAAGTAGATTCGAAGCACCCGTGGCACGTATTGCAACAGAGCAAGGGAGTTCATAAGCTTCCTTGTGTTCAAAGATCCCCTCCCTTTAGAAAATAAAATGAGAATTACTACCTGGGGACAATACCAGCAGTCAATTCAAATTACCGTAAGGAAAATTAAATCAATTAAGATATATATATTGAGAGAGAGAGAGAGAGAGAGAGAGAGAGAGAGAGAAAGAGAGAGAGATTACCTGTGGGAGTGGAAGAATAGCTAAAATGTCAATTAGTATGTATGAAAGCCAAATCGTCTGAACTATTGTTGGGAAAAACAAAGTTCCATATAAGAATTTAAAGTTGGAGTAGTTTTCTGAAATGAATTTAATCAACTGAAGCCAAAAGTTCTCACATTCATAAAATTGAACAATAATGTCGACGAAGTAAGAGAAATCTGTGACCGATCGTAGTGCAAACGCCGTCTTGTTCAACCTTTTGTCCATCTGTATGCACTTCATGTCCTCCTTGATGATGGGAATGTAGAGGAACAGTGGATCCAGTAAAACAGCAAACACACATGATATTACAAATATCTTTTTCCACTTTGGATAAATCCAGTGGAACGGCAATTCCATAAGTAAAAAAATCGACTCTATTGCTCCCGTTATAAGAGCAAAAATAGCTACAACAAGTCCCACTATTATACAGCATCCAACACAAAGGATTGTTCCTTTGCTATTTTCCGACATTGATGATGTGCTTTTTGAATTTGAATCTGACTTTCTGGAAGACAATACAAAGCAATGTTTCATTGAAAATAGAGATGGATTAGTTTTATGCATGCATGGATTAGTTTGAACAGCCACTGAACATACAAATTCATTGTTCGATCGATCTATTTTTTATGCCTGCCTGGAGAAATTAAAGAACTAACCTTGCAATACCTTGCTCTACATCCGGGTTCTCCACAAGTGAAGTAACTTTAGTTTTCTCTTCCGATTTCTCCACAAGTGGAATTACTTCAGCTTTTTCTTCGGATTTCTCCACAAGTGAAGTTACTTCAGCTTTCTCTTCTGGGTTCTCCACAACTAAAGTTACTTCAGGGTTAGCCATAACTCAAACTTATTTACTAAGAGACCTGAATTCCTGTTTTTGTTCAAGGATATAACCAAAAATAGGACTAAGGAGGGTTTCTACAATGGGGCATGAATTCGGGGGCTTCAGGTTTGAATAAGGCTCGGGAATTTGCAAATGAAGATGCACTAAATCCCCCTTAATTTAAGACCAAATCTGGAAAGAACTCAATTCAAGTTGAAGTATGGTAAACACATTTGTAGGCCTAGTAGGCGATTAGACTAGATTTTATCATGTGCTCTTACTATAATATAAATGAAGATTTCATATTGAAAAGTTATGAATCTTTAAATTGCGGTGATTAATAATATTCTTAAGTCTCTCTAATATTATATAAGTCTTGTCTCAAGTCTTTCTCTAATCATAATTAGTCTTGTCTCAAGTCTTTCTCTAATATTATATAAGTCTTGTCTCAAGTCTTTCTCTAATCATAATTAATCTTGTCTCAAGTCTGTCTCTAATAATATTCAAGTCTGAGAGAAATTTTTGCCTAAATAAAGAAAGACTAATCTCGCATAAATAAAGAAAGACTAATCTCGATTTGGCAATCTCGCTGGGCATGTGAAATAATTAGAGCCATTGATTATCTTTCTCCTTAGCGCACTTCCAGCAGTTAGCCCCTTGCCCTAGGGCAGCTACTATTCACGTGAATAGTGACTGCCCTTGCAAAAAGCAATGTGTGTTTCCAGCAGTTGCCATGGCAAAAGGCAAACACTATGCATTTTTTTTATTTTTTTTCACAAATTTGTTTACCTAAACAATTAATTTGGATAATATTTTCGAATTAGAGTTTTGGGTTCGTACGTGTCAATCTTTATTATAAAATTCATATCTCATAATCAGAAAAAAAAATCGGATAAGATTTCGGAAAAATAAAACTTGAAAGTGAAAAAAATATTATAGAAAGTGAATAATAGTTGAAGGAGACGAAAATGTATGAGGATTTGGTGTTAAAAGTGAAGAGTATTGGTTGGTATTTATAGAAAAAAAATTCATTAATTTTTGGGTTTTTTTTATAATTATTTTATTGCACAAAAATTCGCTGTCGTTGGATTGGAGGAAAAAATCCAATCGGAGAGCCCAGACGACGCCACGTGGCTACTAGCTATGGGCAGCACTGTATCGCGCTGATGTCATCCAAAACTCGGGCCAGCCTCCCCCATGGGCCAGCCCAGTCTGCTGGGGTCCACCTGTTGCCTGGGCCAGCCTCTGTTGATGGAATCGCTTTTTTGGCCCAAAACCCCCCAGCCCGCGCCCCAGCCTTGCTGCTGGAATTGCTCTTATGAATCTTTAAATTGCGGTGATTAATAATATTCTTAAGTCTTTCTCTAATATTATATAAGTCTTGTCTCAAGTCTTTCTCTAATCATAATTAGTCTTGTTTCAAGTCTTTCTCTAATAATATTCAAATGTAAGAGAAATTTTTGCCAAAATAAAGAAAGACTAATCTCGCATAAATAAAGAAAGACTAATCAGAGCCTTTAATTATCTTTCTGCTTGCGCTTGACTTTGCTCCTCTTTACCAAAAAATAAAAAGACTTTGATCCTTCGCTTAGTGATATATTTTATTTCCAAGTGGGCTTATAGGGCAGTGCATTATTGTAATTTTACACCACGTGAGATATGTTCCCCTGCATCTGAAGGAAATAATTGATAGACGAAACATTGGAGCAGACAGAAGAAGAAGGCATTTCCCAGTGAAGCCATGAGCCACGCATGCCAGTCTTCTTCCCTGCATATGTCTCTATTCAGGTTAGCATGCTTTTCTTTCCTCATAACTAACTAAGCAGTAATTAATAAATTAAACGGATACCATTAATTCCTCTCGCTATTTAGGAGGAACTAAGAGGTGCTTATTGTGCAGCTCTAGCTAATTTTGTGGGATTACTGGGTTGTAATTTTGCGTCACTTGCCAGATATCGCTGATCAGTGCAAGGCTTCGAACCCGGCAATATTGGAACGTGCCTAAATTTACCTGGAAATTACATCAAAGAACATGACTCCTCTGAAAATTTCACTGGGTACGTATATATACTATATGTACTAGCTACTTCACACTCAACACATAAATAAATTGTAAAAAAAAGCCTCAAATGTTTGTGGCCGGTTTTCAATTACGTGCAGGTTTCAGTATAAGCTTCTTTGTTTTGCTGGTTGGACTGCTTTTGAGACATTGCATAGCCCTGAAAATATCAGGGTATGTAAAACAGATAAAAGATTACTTTGCAAATGCGCAATTAGAAAAGGAATTGGTTAAATATAATGGATCTGTTAAGTTAGCAACCAGAAAGTTTACTGAAGAAGAGCTGGAAGAGGCCACATCCAATTACGATGATGGCAGAATCATTGCTACCGGAGAGCATGGAAAAGTGTACAAAGGAATTCTATCAGATGAGAGAGTGGTTGCCGTAAAGAAGTTCAAGTCCGAAGAATCTACCCGTAACAAGTTTGTTATAGACGTAAGTTTTCTTTCTCGGATCAACCACAGGCATGTGGTGAGGCTCTTAGGTTACTGTATTGATTCGAGACAACAAACCTTGGTTTACGATTTCATCAACAATGACACTCTTTACAAGCACATTCACGAAAAAAACGAAGGATCGTCAACACTCTCATTCGAACTACGAATGAAGATAGCAGCAGAAATCGCTGCGGCGCTAGCATACATGCACTCCTCCTCCACTTCCAATTCACCAATCATACATCTAAACGTGAATTCGAAAAGAATACTATTGGATGAGAATTACACGGCAAGATTGGCCTACTTTAGAAATGCAAGAATTCTTCATGGTAAAACTCATGTAGAAGGTACCGTGCGAGGCTTATCCGGATACTTAGACCCTGAAAGTACAAACACGTTGTCAGAAAAGAATGACATCTATAGCTTTGGCGTTGTCCTAGTGGAGCTAGTAACAAGCCAGAAGGCGTTTTGTGAAGAGAGGCATGAGGCAGACAAACACCTTGCAAGCTTCTTTCTTCGCTCGGTGGAAGAGAGTCGCTTGGATCAAATTCTTGATGGTGAAATAATCAAGGGGGAAAATCTTGGGACAGCCAAAAAAGTTGCTGGTCTGGCAAAACGCTGTTTAGGGTCACGAAATGAAAGGCCTTCCATGAAAGAAGTAGCCACGAAGCTTGAGGTATTGCGATTTATGGAATGGCATTATTCAGCTGCTACGGGAATGGCTAAGTTGAATTTTTCTCAATCTCCCAAAAAAACTGACAACTTGCTTGGTTCACCTTCACAAGCTCAAGTTCTTGAGGTTAGACGTGGATTTGATGAATTTTTTGGTTCTTGTGGGATTGTAACCGCTGCAGAGTTATATGACAGCAGTGCTGTTAGCAATAGTCAATTAATGAGGATTAGTTTGGCACCTACAATGGTTGGTAGCCTACAATGTTTAGTCAATTAATGTGTTAATTATGTAGTAAATTAATGTGTTAATTATGTAGTCAATTAATGTTTGGCACCTACAATATTTGGGGGGCTTGACTAGTTTGGTTGCCTAATTAGTTTGGTTGCCTAACTTGGTTGGTTGCCTAACTTGGGGTCTTGACTAATGTCTTAGGAACTTGTATATATATGTGTTGATTATAAGTAATGAAACATAAGTGAAAATCAGAAAATATTCTACAACTCTCATTCTCTCTACACTTTCCACTCTCTACTCTCAATATTCTCTATGTTTTAGCATGGTATCAGAGCCTATGGCTAATCCTTAAGATCCTCTATCAAATTGAGAGTCGTTGGCGTTTTTTCATGTTGCTGTAAATTCTCTTGTTTCCATTAAATTTCCTCTCTTTTATCTGTATGGGCAATAAGTCCCTTGGCCACGATGGCCTAATTTGTTTCCTATGGGCAGTACGTTCCTTGATCACCATGATCTCTTTCCTCCGTGAGCCTCGTCATCGCTCACCGAGCCATTTCCTTTCCTCCGCGAGCCTCGTCACCGCTCGCTGAGCCTTTTCCTACTCGGCCTTGTCTCTGTCATGCCGAGCTACACTACTGC